ATAGGAGTAGAATTTTAAATATATTAAATACAATTTTACATAAGCAAACACGTAATGTTAACATTAAAAGATATGTATCTGATTCGCATTATTACAGCTTGATACCAATGCTGGTGTCTGTGCAAAAACTCAAACATAGGTATTGGTAGAACATGTATTTGTAACATCTCAGACGATGGCAGTACAGTAATCACTCAATCAGCACCTTTGCGCTCTATTGTAATATTTATTCTTATTGTTAGATTTGCACAAGCGATTTTTGAGTTTTCAAGCGGCTGACGACTGTGTTGGAGTCACATACGCGGGTCAAGAACCAATAGCATTCGTGTCGTTGAAGTAATGTTGCTCAAGTTTTTTAATTAAGCCGAAAACATTTTACATTGCAATATAAACTACGTGTAGCCTGCAAACGACGGCCGAAGTTGAATCCGTTGGTTGTCTGTCGTGTTGTTGGACTGCTGGTGAAGAAGGTATTCGGCGTTGGCTGTCTGTCCATCTTCAAGTTCTCTTGTTGTTGTACTGCATGTCTACCCCCATGTTCTACTTTCTTAGTCTGGAAGAGTTGCTCTATCAAAAGATCTTACCGATGTACTGGGTGCATCGACGAAGCGGTTTCTGTGTCTGAGAGAACACGCAATGGATCAAGTAGTGTGTTGGAGCATCTTGCCAAACACGCAAATTTCAAGATATCAAATTGTTGATATCTGCCGATAGCATGCCCCATAACATTCTGATGGTGGATATTTTCCTCCAGTTATATGATCTCTTCGCGGAAGTGCTTTAGATCTGCGCGGACGACGTGATCTGGTCTATAAATTATCTCTGGGTGGTCCGTCATACAGATGTCTGATCTGGTGCCAAGCATCGTAAGCAAAGCTTGTCGAAACTCTGCTACGAAGCGTGGATCGCTCTCCGACACAATGTTCACGGGTAAAAGATGCTTGTGTTTCCACCGGCCCACAGTATAGCTGACACAGCGAGTTGAACCATCATGCATAAGGATCACGATGACAATATTAGCATAGCGATGCTGATACTTTTGCACGCTTTGATTTAACGATACCTTAAATTTCAGATTTCTTGATTCCTAAAGTTTGCAGCAATGTAACGAAAATCGCTCCAGTCACGTACGTAGATGTATCGTTTCATCAACTGGCAACGTCATTGTCGTCACATACGAAAGGTCATAGTCGGGAGAAATAAAACGCAGCCACCATTTCGTAAAGTTGA